GGTGTGATATTTGAATATTGGCAAGGTAACTGAATCTCATTTGTAAAATGCATGATTATATCTGTTTATACGTACGTGTATATATATGTATATTTTTTTTTAACCTCGATATTAAAATTTGTACGATTCGTACGAATTTTGTTTATATCAGGGACAGATATAGTTTGGAAAGACTTTGACAAGTCTTAATGGAAAAGTATGTATATGCTTCTTAAATTCTGTACCAAAAATGTAGTTTTCATTTTTCGTACTAATGGTGATTAATAAACAGCATTTGTTGTAACAGATTCGATACGTGAAATAATAAAATATCACTTGGGAGCGATGAATGTACAAAAAATGTTGCCAATCGCGTCGAAAGATTCAGAGACCAAGGACGGTGATGGAAGAGGTACGATTAAAGTTATAGACCGTCCAACGTTTATACTGAAAACGAGAGAAGGCGAGAACAGAGCTGTGTCGCCGAATCAACGCAATGGTGGTAACAAGTACGAGTAGTTCCTCGCTTAAAGATACACTTGAAAAAATATACGCAAAGTTGCAAGTTTTGACTCGTCGTTAAATGTTTCGTCGAATTTTAGAAAAGAGGGCGATTCTACCAATGTTCCGATGAAGATACAAGATCGTAGGTCTCTTTCTCTCTTTTTAATTCTAAATATGTGTTTTCAACGTCAGAACTTGACAGATATGTTTTTTCTAGCGGTTCGTACTGTGCTGTCAACGTGTCCTGAAATGACAAATTGTGTAAAATTTATGGATGAAAATATGCAACTCTGTGAAAGCCCTCTCGAATTCCTATACGATCAGCAGGATTTCTTGGTTGTGGGATGTTTAGGAGCTCAAGGTGTTGGAAAATCAACCGTAATGTCTCTTCTAACATCCAACGTTGCGTTAGTATCGTCCGAAGAGTTTGAATTGCACGATTGCGCGATTTTAACGTAAAAACGGTTTCGAAATTTTAATTCTTAAATTCTTAAAACTCGAGATGTTCTTTGCGTTTCGAGAGTTCGACGCTTCGAGTAACCCGTTCTTTGTATTTTTCTTACAAAGCTTTCTATTTTTCTCGGTCTGGTGTGATCTATCTCGTCGATACAGGTCTGGTATATTTCCAACTCAAGATACGTCGCATCGCGAAAGTGGTGCAAATTGCACTGTTGGCATCGATTTTTTCGTGACGAAAAATCGAGTGATATATTTGGATACGCAACCTATACTCTCGGGATCTACTCTGGATTATTCCACGTGTTACGATCAAAAGAAATCTACGACAGACTTTATAAATACAGAGACTAATTTAGAGCTGCAATCCTTGCAATTTGCGGCGTTCCTTTTTTCAGTTTGTCACGTTGTTATATTTGTGCAGGATTGGTTCGTTGATCCAAACTTGGTTAGGTGAGTGTAACGATATGCCTACTGCGAAATAAATTTTTCACGCGACGATACGATTCGTAGATTTTTACAAACTGCGGAAATGTTAAAGCCATCCTCCACTGGCAATATGGATCAAGATTATGTCGAGTATTATCCTCATATCGTGTTTTTACACAATAAAGCTGAATTGCAAGATTTTACGCCTCGTAGTATGGAGAAAGTGAAAGTAATATATGTATTGCTAGAAGCATGATGTATCGTTGACAACTTGAAAGTGTTGATTAAATACGTCGATCGCACTAATAACGTTTGATTATTTGTGTACTTTCAGGAATTTTATAATAAATTATTCTCCAGTTCTAGATTACAAACCCACAGTGGTTTGGATTTGAGCGATAATTCTATGGAGGCGGGATTAAATTTATTTTTTATACCTCGCATCGTGAACGAAGGTGGTACGGTGTTTCAACAATTGCGGATTAAGGCCTGAGTGTTGAGTTGAATTAAATTTTTACTTTTCAGAAGAACCTACGATACGTCAAAATCGGAAAAAACTGACGGAAAAGCTAAAAACGAAGATACATGGTGTTGCTAGAAATCCAATGACGCCGACTACCTTGACAGAGAAAAATTGGTAGAGTTAAAGTTAATCGATTTTCATTGTATTTTGTAGCAATCTCTTTGTAATTAAATTGCGTAGGTACCACTACGTTTCAAGAGTAATGGAAGCAATTAAGAAGAGTCATCTTTCTTCCGAGTATGGAAGGTTAATGCCATAGTCTTCGGTTACGCCATATGTGCGACAAATGAGTTTCACGCGAAGCAATGTGCGAAAAAACGATGTAAGAAGAAAACTGCGATATAGAATAGATTGTTCAACGTAATTGACGCACTTTTTGCAACGAAAAGTCATCGTTGTTTATTTAGATTCGTAACATGATCACGGAAGTTGG